CACCAACTGATAAGGGCCGGGTTTTCCCCCCCCCCCCCCCAACTTTTTTTGGCCAGCCCCAGCCCCCAAAGGCCCCGGGGAATTCGTTTTTTTTTTTTTTCACGCCGAAGTTGCCCCCCCCTTCAAAAGGCCCCTTCGGCCCCAAGGAGACCATCAGCAGAGACAACAAACGGAGTAAAGTGGCGGCGTTGGGAAAGACAGGCGTCGAGATACTTGCGTTTCTTGTCACGTTCGCCATTGCGAAGGACCTTGTCAGGATCCTTGCGACAGTGAGAAGCAGCATCAAGATTGATGACACGAAACTACAAATTGGAGCACTTTTGCCGTTCTTTGAACTTTGGTATATCTTTGGTCAAGATATCAATAACCCAGCACGAGATGTGTAAATGCCACAGGAATTCACCAAAGCCACCTTCTCCACGCTTGTAGGGTAGACGGGTGTTTCAATGCATTGAATTCTGGGAATGCTTCCTCTCTCATATGGTTTGTGGGATTGCAATTGAGATTGGGACTTGCTTGCTGTCATCACTTGGCTGTTGATTGATGGCTTTCTACAGGATGATTAGATTAGCTGCCTCCTGGCTGGAACGGTACATTTGGGTCCAAGAGAAGTGAACTTGCCTTTCAATTGGAGGAGAAAGGCAAACCATGGCTCGTTTGATGTCAAAGATGCGTTGTCATGCGCAAAAATTAAGCATAAGTGAGTGAGTGATTGAATCATACAGTAAACTGAACTCTTGAGCTTTCAATCGCCAATGAGGGTTGGTGATGTAACTGCTGGCTGCTGGGAGGGGAAAGATATGCACATTGTTTACTTTTGATTAAGAGACAATAAATCAATCATTCAATACATAAAACATAAAATATGTTGATATATTATTAGTATTATTATTATTGGCAAATAAATACTAGATCCCTTCTTGACGAGACCCAGGGCAAGCATTGTCACATAGCCGCTGGATCACTTCCCTGTGGCTTGCAATGCGTGCACATCGAGAAGTTGATTCATCCCATGGACAACCATTTGCACGAGCCAACTTTAAAACTTCCAAATGACCATTTCGAGCAGCAGCGGTACATGTCTTTTCATTCCATGGACAATCATTCTCTTTTAACCATTGGAGCATTTCCAAATGTCCACCACCAGCAGCCAAAGCACATGTCCGTTCATACCATGGACCCCCATTTTCATGCGCCCACTTCAAAATTTTCAAATGGCCATTGCCAGCAGCAAGAGCACATGTCCAATCATCCCATGGACAACCATTTTCACGAGCCCACTTTAAAACCTCCAAATGACCATTTCGAGCAGCAGCGGTACATGTCTTTTCATCCCATGGACAACCGTTTGCACGGGACCACTTCAAAATGTTCAAATGCCCACCTTCAGCAGCACCTGCACATGTCCTGTTATCCCATAGACACCCATTCGCACGAGCCCACTCTAACATTTTAAAATGTCCACCTTCAGCAGCATAAAAACATATCGGTTCTTGTTCCCATGGACACCCATTTTCATGAGCCCACTTTAAAACTTCCAAATGCCCACCTTTAGCAGCATGTAGACATGTCCACTCACTCCATGGACACCCAATTGCACGCAGCCATTGGAGCATTTCCAAATGTCCATGTTCGGCAGCTTTCTTACACGTCCACTCATCCCATGGGAATCCTTGTTGGTGTGCCCACTTCATGACCATAATAGTTCCAATTTTGGCAATTGCAGTGCAAACATTATCATGATGAGGTGCCTTGTTGCTGGAATCGTCCCTGAGCCAGTATTCTGCACGGGGCTGGTTACAAAATGCAGCACTATAAAAAGTGTCCGTGATTTCTGCAGAGCGACTGAAACAAATGCCATCTTTTACCTTTCTTGGCTTTTTCTTGAGTTCAGTTTTACAGTAGTCCTTGTACAGTTGATTCATCTTCTTGTTGACAGCTCCTACAAAAGCGTACTGCCCAACGCCAACAAATGGTAGCATGCCTTGGATAAAAAGGTCATCATCAGCAAGCAGCGGAGAATCGAAGGGGGGAGACATATTCTGTTTCTTAGTGTTGCTAGTAGCACTGTTATTGGCAGCATGAGCACCACCACTACTACTAGTAGTGGCAATATCAATACTATCAGAAGACATGATCAACAATCAGATTGACTAGCTAGCTAGCAATTGATGATGATAGCTTCCGCCCGCTCCAGAGCGTTTGGGGGATTTGTGAGTCTCAGTCTCCGTCAAATTGTTCCGCTATCGAAGCTACAGCGTGGATATCTGTCCACGCAGTGGTCAATTCAATTCAATCCAATCGATGTTAGAAAGGTATTTTCGTATGATGGACAGACGACTCGGGATCCACAATCACGGTTCGTGATTGGGGATGTGTGACTCAAATCAGATGGTTATCCGATCATCATCAGATGGCCAGGTGTA